ATAGGATTTGTTAGGAAAATCAATAAATTAATTCTAGAATTTATGTGGGAAAGCAAATGGCCAAAAGTAGCCAATACAATCTTGAATAAAAACAAGGTGAAAATACCTACATGCAAAACACCAAGAGTCATTATAAATCTACAGTAATTACCACAGTGTAGCAGTGGTGCAAAGATAGACAAATGAAACAGAAATATATTAAAGACTCTTCATTTGCAATAATGATGGCACATCAGAATTGTAGACAATGATATTTTCATTGCTATCCCCTAAGTGGCAAATAGTAGATGATCAAAAAATATTTGTTGACCAGCCTGAGCAAGAGCGAGACCCTGTCTCTACAAAAAATAGAAAAATTAGCTGGGTGTGGTGGCATGTGCCTAAGTCCTAGCTATTTAGGAGGCTAAGGCAGGAGGATCGCTTGAGCCCATGAGTTGGAGGTTGCAGTGAGCTGTGATGACACCACTGCACTCCAGCCCAGGCGAGGAAGTGAGACGCTGTCTCAAAAAAAAAAAAAAAAAATTTCGCGGGGCACAGTGCTGCAGTGGGATCCAGCCGGTTTGGGGCAGGCGAGGGCTGGAGCAGGAGAGTCCTCCTGCGGCAAGGCCAGGCCGGGAGGCTGGACTAGATGGGTTGCGGTTCCCTTTGTCAGCTCTCCACAGCAAGGGGAAGGGCCGTGCCGGCTCCCGCCCCGGAAGCGGAAGTGCAGGCACTGCGGCGTCCCGTCCAGTGTGAGCCTGGCCCGTGCACCAGGCTTTCTGCCTGCTGGTTCACGTTGAGCCTTGTCTCCTGTCCGTGTCCTGCGCTTCGTCCCGCCATGCTGCCCCTAGACTTTTTGGACGACGTGCGGCGGATGAACAAGCGACAGGTGAGCTTGGCCGTCCTCTGTTTCACCTGGCTCCCCTGTCCCTTCGAGGCCGCTACTGCGGGGTCCGGCGGACCCCTGGGCCCCGGTGTGAGGGCCTGAGCGGGTCTGATGCCCGGATCGTGCCCTTTCCTTGGAGTCGGTGGCCTGAGGCCGCTGTGTCTGCCCCCGCTTCCGTTTTGAGCCCCCACCTGATTCGCGGCCTACCTGGGGCAGAGCGGGAAGCGGTGTTTTCACGTTCCATTTCTCCCAGCGAGGCAGGGGAGTAAATGAAACCCTAGGGATCTTTGTAGGTGGGAGTTGAGGTTGCTTATTGTTTTAGACATTGTAAGTCGGCAGACTCCTGGATTGTCCAATCGGAGCGACTTCGGATGGATTCCAGCGAGAGGAGGTTTAGCAGTTCACCGCTACTTAGGCTTCTGGGGCGCTCGGGAAGACGATCCTATGCCCCACAAAAGCCGTTTTGCTGCCTTCAGTCCCTGAGACCCTTCTAGTACGGCCGGGCCGTAGCGGGCTGCACCGCCTTTAACTCGGACCACCCTGAGCTCAGAGTTGGAACAGTTACACTGCTTGCCCTTGAGTCCACTTAGCATTAAGGTGGCAGCCCTCAGAATCTATGGTTTTGCTGTCCAGTATCAGTGGCAGAGGGATCTTGAAGTTTAGGTCTCCCGATTTTGTCATT